CATTCCTAAAAGGAAAAGGCTAGAAGTAAATGAGGGTAAAAAGTTTTTTCAAAATATATCCTTTTTCTTGCAGTTCAAAGCAACACATTCTAATGTTAAAGGTTTTAATTGTGTGGTTTATTCTAAGCCATACAGTCTCATTTTTTCGATCTGAAATTAAGCAGCTAAAAAATCCAGAAACGTTCTTTTTCCAGCCTATCCATTGATTGCTTTGATCTAAATAAATCTGTGAGGTGAAAGTATTTCTTACCATCCTACTGACATTAGAATTCCTTTAATCAGAAGCAAAATACATTAGGCTATCAAAGGAAGAACACCTCTGAATAGCTGAGATCTAGAGAAGCACAAATCAGCCAACTTGGGGAATCTTCTAAGCTGCCCAAATATCAAAGCCAGGAGCTGAAAACCAACTGCAAACTCTCAGTCCTTTCTCCATCATAGGAAAAGTCAGATCATATTCAAGTTTACCCAGCTTTACTTATGGCCACAAGCCAGATGTCTACAATTTAAAAGGCATACATATTATCCTACCTGTCCCCCCACACATCTCAAAAGTCATTCTGTCTTTGCAAAGGTAAAAGGGGCAGTTTGCAAAAGTCAAAGAAATGGCCAGAAATAAAAACCACCCAAGGAGTTGAACTGAATTGGGATCCAAATCATTTACTATACCAATTAAAAAAAAATTGGAAAAGAACTATATTAGGTACTTTTCACAGCTATGTCTAGAGGGATAGTTCTTAATCAAACAAGAGTTAAAGGCAAACACAGAAGATATAATAATTTAATTATAAGAGGTTGAAAAAATTTTTTTAAAAAGAGGTTGAAAATCGTTTGCAAGAACAAAATCAATGAATTCAGGATAAGAAGGGAAGTTAATGATTAAGGAAAAAAAAAACCTTTGCATTTAATGTCTTAGATAAGTGCCTGATATTAAAGATACAAGGAATTAACACATCTATATTGGAACAAGAATCATTTCCCAATGGATAGTAGTTAAAGCAAACAACAATTCTCAAAAGAAGAACTGCAAACTGCTAACAACCATATGAAAGACTGCTCCAAATCACTAAGAGAAACATAAGCCAAAACAACTCGAGTTTTACCTCACACCCAGCGAAGTGTCAAGGACGATAAAAGGTGGAAATAAATGTTGCAGGGACTGGGGAAAGACAGGCAAACTAAAATACTCTTGGTGGAGCTAAGAATTAGTACAACCATTCCTGAAAGCAATTTGGAAGTGACTAAAATGTCCACTCCCTCTGAATATATGTTATACATACATATGTGTGTATGTATACACACTCTCTCTCTCCCCACAGAGGTTTTAAAAAAAAAAAAAAGGTCCCACTTACACCAAAATGTTTATAAAAACATTTTTTTGCTGTAGCAAAAAACTGGACACAAAGTAGGGCTGCACCAATTGGGGAATGGTTAAACAAAGTAGTAAGTGAATATGTAAGAACAGAAGTCTCAAAATTCCCGAAGCAGAGGAAGTCTTATATGAACTGATGCAGAGTAAAAGAAGCAGAACAAGGAAAACAATAAAACTGAAAACTATGCAAATGGAAAGAACAACAAAAGTCTTGAATGCTGGATTATTATGATAGCCAAGCTAATGCCTCAGAGAAAGCCAGTGCCCTCCCTGCTGCCTCGGCAGAGAGCTGCTGAGCCTGTGAAATGCTGCAAGCATCATCAGACTCAGTGGACATGACTACTTTTGCTAAACTGCTCTCTTTTCCCTTTTCCTTTTTGTGTTTATCTCTTGTTACAAAGGACAGCTCAATGGCAGAGAAGGGTGAGGAATGGATTTGGAAATAAAGGCAACATAAAAACAAAAGCTGCCCATAACATTTTTGCAAATAATGAAAACAAGCTGAGTTGAAAATGGGTAGTTTTTCCCAGGACCAGAGCAGGAGTAGGGAATGGGAAGAGGCTGGAACAATATTAGAAATGAGCTACTGATCTCCACCTCCCAGGCACAAGCCCCCACCCCCAGCTATCCTCAGTCCCTTTCCCTCTGGCAAAAGCTCCACCCCATGTACTCCAACCAACAGTGGTGCTTTTGCTCCAGCCCTCACCATCACCACAGCAGACTCTTCCAACCTCTCCAACAAAACAGGAAAAGCTCAAAATAGTCATCTTCATCCTACCACAAAAATGAAGATGCTTATCAAGATGCTAGAAAAGTCACCCCAGTCTCGACACTAATATCAATAAGAACCATGAGCACCTAAGGACACAGAGGAACAGTCACAGAGAACAAAGCAGATCGCCCAGGGCTGATGGACTCTATCTCATGCCTCACAGAAGCCAGTCTGAGCTACTGAAATTCAAGGGACTCAATTGTGGATTGACTTTGTGGTCTCTATATCCACCACAGATGGAAATGTAGGAGGGAGGAAACAAAGTCAAGGAAAAGAAGAAAGTCCTTTATCTATCTGTCAGTGCTTCTGTGGGCTAGCCAGGAAAGCTGATGATGTCATGGTGGGTGGTCGACTGAAGAATACCAGAACAGACAAGTATGTGTGTCCTACTTGTACAGCACCAATGCTGCTGACTAAGCTTGGTGATTTCAGGTGTTTCATTTTTGTCTTTGTGTTCCAAGCCTTCAGTCCAGTACTTGGCACAGAAGACCAAGTTCAGACTGACATGAATCACTTACGTACCTTCTTTCTAGTCAATAGACAGAATGCCAAAATACTGCCTAGGGTAGGAGAAACAAACACATACCCTTAGGTCTCAAGAGTAATCAGGGAAGAATGTTGATTGCAGAGGTAGGTAGGTACATTTCCTACCAAGGGTGAATCGGTGGTACTACCTTCAGAAAATGTGGCTAATGAATTTCCATTCTGGAGGTAGTATGTGCACGCGTTGGTGCCAAGTTCTAATTGTGGCTTTGATACAAACTGGAGAGATGGCCTCAGTTTCTAACTTTGTGAGGTGAGGAAAATAATATCTGTAGTATGACCTTAAAGGGTTGTGGTGGTAAAGTGCTTTGTAAACCTTACAGTAACATATAAATGCAAATTATTATAATTTTATGGTAGAAGGTATAAATCCAGGCAAACTTAAAAGAAAACATGAAAACAAAAACAGACAAAGCTGATGGTCAATAAAACTTTATGCCAAGGAAGCTTTCTGCAATAGACAACAGCTGCCATCAACCACGTGGCTGACTTGGAGGCTCTTCCCTACAATCCCAGGCTCACGCCCATGGGCAGTCACCTGGTCAACTTTGTACCCAGACCTCAGCACCTCAACTTGCTTTCTCATATCCGTTCTCCTCCAGCTACGACCAGAATGGCCTCATCATTCCTAACCTGCCGCGGACGCTTAGCTGGGGCCTGAACAATTGCCAGTCCACCTGCTGCCAGCTTTTTGGAAAATGTGTTGGCAGTCATGTCTCACAGCACCACACACACTAGACTCCCTCCCTTCCTTCTCATGCCTTAAGTCACTCCCCTCACCCCCTCTTCTCTTCTATTCAGAGCCTCAGAACCCTGATCTGGAAAATGGAGTTATCTTAACTTCATAAAGGCAGGAGTTAGAATAGTGTTTTAAAGACTTGACTGCCCCTGAGGCAATCAATCAATCAATCAGTATTTATAAAGTGCCTACTAAGTGCACTACTGGGTACTAGAAAAACAAAGAAGAAAACAATACCTACATTCAAGGACACTAAATTCTAAGTAGTTAATAAACATTTGAACTGAGCCAAATGAAACAATCTCTTGAGAACTGTGGGTATATGATTTAGTGACAGCCCTGAACTTAAGTGAATTTAAGAAAAACAAAGGGTCTAGGTTTTCCGGAAAAACTGGTAAAGAAAAAGCTATGATATAAATGGGATTTCCCTCCATTCTCCTTCTCTCAATACCCAGAAAAGAAAACACGAAAAAAGTGAGAAGGCCAAAGGAAAAAAATGCTGACATTTATAATTTGCTTTAAGATTTACAAAACCCTTTCCATTCATTGTCGAGAATATGCTTTTCACAATAAAGTGAAACAGTTCCCCCATTTTTACAGGGGTGGGGGGCGAGACCCAGAGGATTAAATGACCCGCCACAGTCACATGGCGTCCAAGGCAGGATTCTGACCCACTTCTCTCCTGACCACAAAGTAAACACTCTTCACTAAACTTCAGTGTCTCTCAGGGTGGCCTGGAAACTCTTACCACTTTGTTCTTGGTGCTGTTCATCTAAAGACCCACCCATCTCTCTACAAAGACCATTGACATTTTACACATTTAGTTTTTTTGGAACATGTAGAATCCACCAAACTGTGAATGGTCAATTGAGATGGAGAGGGAATAAAGCAGTGTCCTGGCCCTATTACTAAATTCCATAACCTTGAGGGGAACTAGGAAATCCCTAGTTTTTCCTTTACCAGTTCCTTGGAGAAAAAGAACAATGGTCATCATCTTGAGAAAGTGCCAATTCAGCCCCCAGACTCCCCGATGTCCCACAATATGGAGGGAGAAGGACAAAAAGCTACTATTGCTATGAGGAACAAGCAGGTTGATTAGCTGAATCTTCCAAAGATGTCATTTCCCCCACCATGACCACCAGAAACAACAGCACCATACCTCTCCTACAGCAGCAGCTGCTCCCTTGCGGCCACTGCCACCATGATTCTACCCTGCAGGTATGCAAGCTTCAAATTTCTAATCACTATGCAGTTACCAGGGACAAAAGCAGCAATTCCTGAGGTTCCCATTTAGCTTACAGATAGAGAGGAGTAAGCTCTTCTTGTACAACGTCTACTACCATAATACAGGATGTTCTAAAACATGTTTCCAGCTTTGGCCTCTTCTCCCCCGAACTCCCCGTCCTTCTCCCCCCCCCCCCCGCCCAAATTACTATACATCCCCAGGCATATACATAATGGCCTTGATACATACCCATGATGTCTCCTCATCTCCATAATTCATATCATATTTGAATTATGTATCACCAAGATCCCATATAAATCAAATATTCCTTGTTGACCTACTGACCCACCTCACTCTTCCAGTCAGATTTATCTGGACATGCTGTTTAAAATCTGGGTACTTGGATGCCAGATATGCAAAATCAGGAGGCTTATCCTTGTACCTGTTTCTTGCATGCATTGATTTATTCAAAGCCATCCTAAAAGAATAAAATAGTAACATTTAGTACTGAACAGAAAACACAAGTTATTACAGTGGTTAATACTTAATCCTATTATATCTATGTCAATCAAATAAAAAACTAATAATTAAATTTTAAAATATTAAGTACATCAACTTTTAAAAACGGAAAGGGACAATTACCTTTTTTGGCGTGTCAATTTAAGTGATAAGATTCAGTATCATGTGTATTCCTAAGTGTTATTGTGAGATGCGGGTCATCTTCCTGGAATCAACTGATATGGCAGAGAACAAGTGGTTCTTTGTCTTGCACAAGTGATTTCCAACTCTGGTTTCACTATAACCCCACAGTGTCTCCAACTGTCTCAAGGGGTTGAAGAAATCTATATTAAAACAAAATAAAAATTCTTAAATTTATTTCAAATAGGTAAAAAATATATAAAATCTAGAACTCTCAGGAGAAAGTCATAAAATTCCAAAAAGGTTTCCGTGAATCACTCACTAATCTAAGCACTGGGTGGAAGTGGATCCAAACATTCCCCCTGCCTCTATTCCAAGACTAGGGTTTCTCAAGGAAATTTGAAAGTCGGTGTTTTGGGAGCTTCCTTCCAAAAAATTAGAGGAAAGGGAACAAGCATTTATTAAGTGTTTACTGTATGTCAGGCAATGTACTTTATAAATATTTATAAACATAAATAATTATCTGTAACAGAATATCTATGTCACAAATATTATCTCACTGGACCATCACAATAATCCTGGGACACAGATTCTATCATTATCTTCATTTTACAGTTGAGGAAAATGAGGCAGAGGTTAAATGACTTGCCCAGTAAGTGTCTTAGGGCCAGATTTAAACAAAAAAACTAAAGGCTTCTCCTCAAATTTTTCCTTTTCAGACTTTCATATTGCCAGCTGGGGGGAAAGATGATTAGAAGATAGTTCCTCTCTCAAAGAGATTATAGCCTTCATGAGGAATTAAAAGATAATTACTAATAATAAGGTAAATATATTCAGCTACAGATTTCAACTACTGGGAATAGTATTCTTTTTCAAGACGGTTTCTCCCACTTTTACATCACTTTAGTCCTTCAGGTACCTGCAATAGTTCAAATCCTTATAAGTGTGGAGTTAAAATAATTTTTGTAAACACAGCATTTCTTTTTTAAACTGAAAACTGAAAGTGTTCTTGATCAGGAGGAGCTCAACAGGCTCATATACAAGTCCATGGGACAGAGACAGATAAAGCACTCTGAAACTACACAAGGTTCTTCCACAATCACTGTGTGATTTCACCTCAGTCCTAACCTAGGGGGAGGGAAGATTAATGGGGGGTAGAGGGGGATCTCCTCTCTCCCTCTCTGCTGTTCTCTAGACTTAGGACCTAAAGACTTGTGCCCTGGGAGGCTTGGCCCTCTTGCTCAATTTCAGTTCCATCCCCGCCCTCTCAAAGAGGTATGGATACCTCCTGGCCCTTGTCCCAAAAGCTGCTCTCCTTGGTTCCAAACTTTAACAGGAAGGTCAGGATTACTGCCAACAGTATCTGATGGAAAGGGTCACCAAGAGCAAAAGTGTCAAGCTCAAAGAGAAATGAGGACTACTAATCTGTAAGTAAATATCCCTGAAGGCCACACATTGACTCAGTTTTTAAATGAAATATTACCTATAAATATTTCCTAATTACATTTTAATCTGACTTGTCTGCACTGGAGGATGGGGAGGGAAGGAGGGGTAGAATAGAGCACGTGACAAAGAAAAAGAAAGCTGGAAAAACAAAGAAAAGAGGATATAGACATACAAAATTCAACACAGAAGAGATGGTGTATAAATTCATTAAATATGGAGACTGTTTGCAAGATAATGAGGATGCCAGGAAGATTTCTGTTAAGAAGACCATGCAACTGGGTACATAAGAGATTTTGTATAAAAGTGATCTAAGTAAAAAAGGAAGGATTAAAAAAAAGAGACAGAAGATAGAAACATAGTACAAATGACTACGAATGCAAATTACAATTGTACACCAAAGTCTAGAGAGGCAGGGATCCCAGAGTTAGGGATGTTATAGGTAGACTTTAAAAGGTATCTAGTGTTAAAAGTGATTTAACATGATACAGTCATCAAGTCATTTAAGTGGCCAGTTAGTAATGCAAAAAGCACAAAAGATGTTCCTCCTTGCTCTGCAAGCTAAGATTCTAATACTTCAAACAGCTCTGATTTCATCCATGTGATTATTCTTTTCACTTATGCAGATCACAATCTCTCAGTAAACTGGCAGATGGCCTTCTGGGTTTCATGCAAAGAAAAAAATTCATCACCCTGCAGCTGAGCAAGTCCTTGGAGGAGTCTATCTCCTTGGGCTATATTACCAAGCTTCTGCCTGGATTTATGGGGGTAACTTCCATACTACAATGAGGGAGTAGAACAGGAACTTAGTGGAGAGAAGACTGTTACACACAGCTCCAGTGGTCAATAAGGCTGACTACCCTAAAGAAGCATTTTCTTGTCCAACCACTGTAAATTCTGGTACACCCTTCCTAGGCTGATGCTGGTGCTAAAGTGGCCTAAAGGGGCTCGAAACAAGACTGGGAGACTCCCTTCACCTTGATTTCTACCAGCCGAGAACAGACTCCGCCACTCCACCTGTTGATATCCATCCCGTCTTTTTATGGCCAGATCAAATGTGACCTTCCCCATAAAATCTTCCTGATCTCCCTAATTCTGTGATGCCCTTTCCAAGCCTACACCTCAAAAAAATGGCATTTGCACTGCTTTTCTCCTTATATCAATTATTAGTGTGTACTGAGGTGTAATGCATAAAGGTGACCTCAGGGCCAGAGACTGACTCTTGGCTCTGACCTAGCTGTGAGATCCTAGACAAGTCACTTAACCTAGCAATGCTCTGAGTCAGGGTTCTCACACTTTTTGATTTCAGGACCCCTTTACACTTTTAAAAATTACTGAAGACCTCAAAGAGCTTTTGTTGACATAGTCTGTAGCTACTATTATCTACCATACTAAAATTAAAATGCCTTAGTATTATTATGAAAATTGTTTTAACCTCATCTCTTTAACCCCTGAAAGGGTCTCAGGGAACCTGAAGGGTCCCTGGACCCTGTTTTAATGACAGTTGCTCCAAGAAATTTTCTAACACCACGAAGGCAGAGATGTTGATCTGAATTAGTAGTTACCTCATCCAGAAGTTTCCTATAACAATGAAATCACAGACTCTCTCCCCTATTGTGTATGTTATTTCTGTATGTGACATAAACCCTACTAGAATATAAACTCCAAAAAGACAAGGATCATGTCATAATTGCATATTTCTCAGTGTCTACTATAGTGCTCTGCATATAGTGGGCACTTGATAAATGTTTAACTATTAAAAGAACTGTAACAATTAACATATCATGGTTTTTTTTAAAAAAATTCACATACAATAAAATAGGTGATATCTATGTCAGGTACCTTAAAATTTCCAATTTCTTCCCACTCCCCTCTTCCCCCCACTCTCCAAGAGAACTTTTTTTTTTTGTTCAGGTTAAATTTGCAGCAAACATTTTCTTCTGCATTTACACACACTGTCCTCAAATTTTATAGGCACTTTTCACTTAAATGTAAATTCCAAAACGAAGACTAAAATCAAAAAGCTCATTTAATAACTTTCTTGAAAGCAATGCCTTATGTCAATACCTTACAAAGTGACAAATTTGTCAATTCTACACTTTCAAAGAGCTTTAGAGCTAATACCACCCACTAAAGTGATTCATCTAGGCATAGTGCAGCTCTTTGGGGAAATTAGTCATTTACAGGTTTCTTATGATGCTCAACCCGATTCTTCCCCAGTCAATTCTGTTATGAAAAATTCCAATGCCACAGACACTGAATATGCAGTTCCAGTTATAGTGAGACACCCTGACCATCAGAAAAGCAGGCACACAAAATAATGGGGCACATCTCAAAATTGGAGAAGAACTGGAGGAAACCTTCACAAACATCTGGTTCTACCCTCTCGTTTTACAGGATGGCGCAGGAAGCCAAAGGGGGCTTGCACATTTGAAACCAGGTTTCCTGCCTCTCTGATCAATTGTTTTTCCCCCTGTGCAAGCTTTCTTAATAAGACTTAGTAAGGCTCTAAAAATCAAGTTTCAAGGGAACAAGCTCGGGTGTTTTTAAATTTTAATGGACCCATTCTGCTTTGCCTCACCTTAATTTCCGAAACACAAAAATACATTTCCCTCGTTAGATACCTTATAAATACCAAATTAAAAAGGAGGAAAAAAGCAATTCAGCAAAGCCAACACTTCAATGGTGTCCGACAGTTTATAACATGTGAGAACTCGGGATCTCGGTCGTCAGGGAGAGCTGGGGCCAGACGGCGCCTTCGAGATCTCTCAGTCTAGACCCGGGGAAACTGAGACCCGGGCGACGTGCCCAACGTCACCCGGGAATCCGGGCGAGGGGCAGGATTGGAATCCGGGTCCTCGGTCGGCCTTGCCTCATTCCTCCGGCCGGGCCGGGCCGGGCCACGCGCCTCTCTCTCCGGCCCAGACCGCCAGTCTCGCCTTCCCCCTTGGCCCGCCATCTCCTCCGGCAGCTCCGGAGCCAGGCCCCGGCCCCCGGGTTCCGCGCTCCGCTCTGGGGCCCGGCCGGTCGCCTCAGGCCGGGGTCTTTCCCGCAGCCCCCCGGCCGGGCCTCGCTCCCGCAGGCCGCGGAGAAGCCGCTTCAGTAGCGCCGGCGGCGGGGCGGCGCTCGGCCCGCTCACCCCCGGACTCCAGCTAGAACCTACCCCGGCCACTCGCTCCAACACGCCTCCGCCGCCTCGTCGGGCGCCCGCCACCCCTAGTAACGAACGCAAGCACGACGCGACCAGCGCGCCGCCATCTTGCGCCGCGGGCTGAGTGGCCGCGCCGTTCTCGCGAGGTTTGGTGGCCCCCGAAGGGCAGAGCGGCAGCTCTCGCGAGAGCTGAGACCCCGTCTCCCCGGAGCCCGGGAACGAGGGAAGGAAAAACGAGGTGGCCACAGGGGCCCGCTAGGGGGCACTGGCGGGGAAGCACGTGGCTGGCCGAGGAGGCTGGGCCGGGCTGCCGTATGCGATTGTGTGGTCCATACCTAGGCTTGGATTAGCAGGCTCCCCAGCCCTAGGGAGCTAAAGAAAGGTGAAACGGCATTCGGGCCAATCAGGAAGCATGTATTGAGCACCTACTGTGCTGCGGGTGCAGTTCCTGTCCCCTAGCCCTCTACGCTGGGATCTAGAGATGCCAAGGCACAAATGAAGCCCATTCTGCTTTCAAGGAGCTTATGTTCAATTAGGGGAGACAAAAAGGGCAGCTAGGTGGCACAGTGGATAGAGCACCGGCCCTGAAGTCAAGAAGACCTGAGTTCAAATTCGGCCTCCCGCCAAACACTTGACACTTACTAGCTGTGTGACCCTGGGCAAGTCATTTAACCCCAATTGCCTAAAAAAAAACAAAAACAAAAAAAAACCACGAAATCAATTAGGGGAGACAATTTGTAGGTAGAACAATACGGGGGTGGGACTGGATCTGTGATTTTATGGGTACTGTACCACCTAGTTGCCCTTCTGGCACTTAATAAGTACTTAATAAATGCTTATTTGATTGGATTGGCTTCATGTAAACTGATTACACTTTATCAGGCTGCTATTTGGTTGATGGGTAGTGTTGGGTCTAGAGTCAAGAAGACCTGAATTCAAATCCAGCTCAAACATATGCTACCTGTGTGACCCTGAGCAAGTCATTTAGCCTCGTTTCCTTGTCTGTAAAATGGGAATAATAATATCACCTATTTCACGTGGGAAATAGGGAAGATAAAATGAGATGTTTGTGAAGTGCTTTACAAACCTTAAAATACTATAGGAATGCTAGCTATTATTATTATTATTACCAGACTGCAAATGAACTGGCTGGAAAAGTGGGAGCGTTTTACATGCAGTCCATCACTAACTTAGTAAAGTAAAACTCAAAATCAATATCAAATTAGATGAAAGAATAAACATAAGAAAATATGTTGCACAATTGAAGCAACTCCAACATGATCTAGCTATGGACATCAAAAAATAGGAAATGGATGAAAGCAGACATTGATATAGATCATTTCTTAAGAATGAAAATCAGTCACTATAACAAAGAAACCAAACAAACACAGAAACAGCCTAGGGTGATGTCCTTCCCAGGTGGAGAGATATGGCAGCCAAAAATCACACCAGTTTAGAATATAAATTAATTTGTAATTAGAAGAGTGGTGAAAGATTAAGAGCAATTTCACTTCATAAAACAATGAGAAAGAGTAGAGGAAGAAACAAGCTTACAGAATGTTCATTGAGAAACCCAACTAAGCCAGGTCACTCTTTTCCCTCCCTGTCTCTGCCCCCTGACTTCCCTGGTTTCCTTCCAGTCCCAGCAAAAATCTTACCTCCTATGGGGGAGCCTCTTAATTCTACCCCTCTTGATTCTAGGGTATTTCAGCTGTTGATTTCATCCTGTATGTAGTTTGTTTGTATATAGTTATTTACATGTTGTCTCCCCCAATAGACTGGGATCTCCTTGAGAGTAGCAAATGCCTTTTACCTTTCTTTGTATCCCCAATGCTTAGCACAGTGCCTAGCACATAAAATGACACTTAATAAAGGTTTGTTGACTGACTAAGGGCATTTAAGAATGAAACTGGATGGAGGACAAAAACATATGAAAGATGAAAACCATCCATAAAAATATTTATGAACTTTTTCTCCGTAATAGTGGAACTCTAACATCAAAAGTCCTGGTGGGCTAGAAATAGTACTAAAGAAAGCAAAGATGGGAAGAATGCGCAGAATACACCAAACACACACATACATAGACACACGCACATATAGAGAAGGTCTATGCTAAAGTCTACACACTCACCGGCCCTGAAGTCAGGAGGACCTGAGTTCAAATCCAGCCTCAGACCAAACACTTGACACTTACTAGCTGTGTGACCCTGGGCAAGTCACTTAACCCCAATTGCCTCACCAAAAAAAAAAAAAAGTCTACACACTCACAAAAGAGTTGAGAAGCAATTCTCAAGATATCTAAAATAGAGGAAGATAAATAAAGCTTGAAATAAATCACAAATTTCATTAATAAAAAAAGATACCAAGAAAATATCAATAATTTCAAAACCACATGCCTATTCTCCCAATATTGAACCTTTATAATAATATATACAAATGGAAAACATCTTTGATGAAGGACTCAAAAGGGAATGAACAGTTTTTCACCAATTACACATTTTATAGTTCAGCCATCACCTCTGCACAGTCACAAAATTGTCAATGAACATGTATTAAACATTAATTATTAATTCAAGCATTTATTTATTAAAATGGATTGAAAATTCAAAATCACACAAGATTCCTTGACAGATATAACAGAGATGACTATGTATGACTACCTAATAATTATTCATATCCAGCAAGGCATAAAACAGGTAGATGTATGCTTGCCGAAGATGTTTGCCACTACTATTGAGAATGTCCAGCACAGAGTCTAAATGCAAGGAGGATTTCTTGTAGATCAAGGGTTCTTCACCTTTTTTTTGTGTTATGATCCCCTTTGGCAGTCTGATGAAGCCTCTGATCTTCTTCTCAGTTTTTAAACGAATAAATTAAAATACTTTGGATTACATAGGAAACTAATGATATTGAAAAAGTTAACAATATATGTCTACATGTGTATGTATATATAGTATATATGTGTGTATGTATATATGTGTATATATGTATATATATGTGTGTATATAAAAATATATATAGATGGACCAGAGATTAAGAACCTCTGCTTTATACAGTAAGGTCCTACAGATGTTCCTGCTTATTAATAACCTTGTACTAATTGTATCAAGCTCTAGAACACTGAAGAGTTTCCTAAATGAGATCCATGAAAACTTACAAGGGTTCAGCCTAACTATCCACACAGGAAAAACCAAGTGGATGAAGAATGTCCATTGTCTAAATTATGAGATGCAGCTGGACAGACAACTTATAGAACTGGTCCTTCAGTGCCTATGCCTTGCACAGATAGTGTGGGTGGACAGTGAACTAGCCCAGAACTGAGTAGGAGTAAAAGAGTAGGCTACATTGCCTTTCAGAAATCGTACAGGACTTTTAATGAACCCAAGTTTCTCATTGAAACAAAGATCACTCTTTTTTTTAACATTAACATATCTGTGAGTCATAAAATACCATGACCTCTAAAGAATGAAAGTTGAACGTCATACAAAGGAAATAAAGAGGCATGTGTAGATGTGAGTATGAAAAACAGAAGCAATAATCAAGCTCTCCCTTTCCTTTCTTTCACATTTACATTTCATTTTTATTTTTAGTTCCCCATTCTCTGCCTCTCTCCACCTTCTCCTCCACCCATTGGAAGACAACAAATATGATGCCCATTACACATACGTAGTCATGCAAAACATATTTCCATAGTAGCCATGTTTTTAAAAAAAAGCAAGGAAAAATAAAGGAAAAAAATGCTTCAATCTACATTCTGAGTCCATCACTTCTTTATCTTGAGGTGAATATATATATATATATATATATATATAAAATTTTATATCATGAGTCCTTTGAAGTTATGGTGGATCATTGTACTAAAGATCTCCTTTTTCAAAGGAAGGAGGATAAGACTGTCAACTGTGCCTTACCCCTGCATAGTGGATGGAAGGTCTAAACAGTAGGCATCCCTCCCACTGATCAGCTGAACCAGAGTCAAAAGTCTTCTGAACGAGGCTAGGGAATCTCACCTACCCTCTCCTGCCTGAGGGAGAAATTCAAATAAATGACCTGTCACATTTTCACAAAGCACTGGAAACAAAGTGGGTGTGAATTGAGTAAAGGCTGAAAAAACTAGGATATATAATGTAATGGAACAGCATTTTTGCCATTAGAAATTATGGAAGGGGGGAATCAGAAAAAACTTGGAAAGATTTGTGTGATCTGATGAAGAGTAAAATGAGCAGAACCAGGAGAATAATCTATACAATTATTAAAATATTGTACAAGAGAGGGAGTTGGTCCCACATTTCCATCCCTCTCCTTAAAATATAGTCATAGATAAGGTATTAATGTGTTGACAAGGTGTGAATACCTTGTTATCCCTTTATAAATATAAACATTTTTCTTTGATTGAATTAGAAGGGGCAATGCCATTGCCAGGGTGGAAAACTGACTACACCCCTAGAGACCTTCAAATAGCTGTGCCTAAAATTAGTAGACACACTTCCACTTTAGTTCAAAGAGGCTAAGCCAGGCATAGCCTTGTGATGGAGACCCCTATGGAGGGATCGTTCTGTCTCCTAGAACTATTCCACCAGTTGGAGACATTGCATCCATTAAGGAACAGAAATGCGCACTTTGAAGACAGACACAGAGACAGAAAAAAAAATGTGTACGGTAGAAGCAAAAAAGAAAGCTGGCTATGTACTCAGGGCTGAGCTGCAGAGAGGAGCAGACCCAGAAAG